GGTCGTTATTTCGCGGCAATACGGTATGTGGTGTTTCCAGTTTCGATATGCAACATTGTTTTTCTTCAATATTAGACAACAATAATGACTAACCGGATCTGCCTATGACGATAATCGGAACCACACATGTCGAGCGGTTGGAAGAATCTCTGAAAAAAGAAGTTATTAGAACGTCTGTGTTTAATTGTGATATAAAATTATGTATGCTCTACCGTTGATATTGGAGTAAACTTATTTATAATGAATATTTTGTAAATTTCTATTGAAAACCAGTTGTGATTCACACAGGTGGTTTTCGGAAGACTTTGTTACTTCCTCGCCTCTAAAAGTTATGGTAAAATGGTAAAATAATGCCATCTTTGATTAATCTGTCTTGCCATACCCTGTAATTGTAAACTTGACGAGGTTAAAGATGTCGGGTCACGAGCTGCGTAACGTGAAACTTCACCACGTATATAGGAGCACTATTAAAATTATTCATACATTGAATTTTGTAATTATTCCGCTCCACAGACGATATTTGACCGAGTTTTTTTCGTAACTGCCTCAATTACAAGAGGCGATTTTAGCTTCTGGATGTCTTTTACAATATCTTCGCTAGAAAGATTATCACACGGTCCAAGCTTGTCATTATCATCAAATCCGAAGGGAAGGAGAAAAAGGCAATCTGGTTCTTTTAGTAAACACAAACACAAAAAGTGGGCAATCCAGCTCACCCCATCTAATAATCACATGACATCATCACTATAGCTTAATACAACAACAAACCCTAACCAGGCCATTAGGGTTGGGGCACGGGAAATTTTTTGGGCATGCCCTATATATAAAGCACGTGATATGTACGATATATAAAACAGTAAAGATAGAAATTCAGTACACTTTTTGTTCACAGAATACTACATAATATATTTTTTTTATTAAATTTAATGAAATACAATATATAATTGACAAATAAAATTTATTTATTTTTTAAAAAAATATTATCAACAGACCAATCCTTCTCTTCTAGTGGTGGATTGCTTTATTTAACATTAACTTGAACCAAATTTTTCAATGCCTCTTGGTCTCTTTCATACATAGCAAAGTCAAAAAATTTCTTCAAAAAAAACACTTCATTTTCTTCAATTATAATTTTCTCAAGCTTTTTATTCAAGTCTTTCAACTGTTTATTTTCTTCATCTTTATCAAAAAAGATATCCAAGTTTCTGTCATCATTAATCAAAAGTTTAGGAATGATTTTGTCTTGTCTTGTAACTTTGTAGATATCTTTTTTTTAAGTTTTTAAGTTTATTTCTAATCTGCCTAAGTATAAAAAGATTATCTGGTATTAACTTATTTTTCACTTTAGATTTAATTAATCTAAATAATAAAAAAAGTTATTTACAAGCAGCACTGTAAGGAATAATAGTAAGTACTTTCATTGCAAAATGGTATAATACAGATGCATTTTTCTTAAATTTACTTCAAAAGGATTGTAAATTTTTTGGAGAGCTGGAAGAGGGTTTGTTAAACAGAGAATTATTGTTCTTGTAACTAATTATTTTTTAAAATAGAAGAGCAGTATCTACTTTAGTAAATTTTCATATTTTAGCTAATTTAAGTGCAGCTTAAATTATTTGTTTATTATCTATTTTTTTAGATATTACTAATTGCTTGTAAATTAGAGAAAGAAAAAATGCAACAAAGTAGATATTACTATCAAACTCTTGTATATATTTATTAATAATAAAAAAGATATAAGCTTAAAAATTAATAATTGAAATTTTAAGTTAAAATATCTGCTAGTGAGTATAGATAAGTTTTTTAAAAATATTAGCCAAAATAAAATTATTTGACTTTAACCTTCTAATAGCATTAACTACTAGCTTAATTACTTTCATTAATATATTATTGATAGCAAAATAATATTTATTATAGATAAGATTTTTGACTATAGTATTTTTAATCTTAGGATATTTAGAATATAAAATTTCACTTAATGATAAACAATAATAAAAATCTTGTTTGTAGATTAATACTTCTATACAAACTTTAGCAAGTGAATACTATCTTGTTTTATAAAACATGGCCAAGGGGTGTGGTGACTTAATGTAGTGGTAAAGTTGTCACACCCCAGACGGCAGGTCTAGAGTTCAAATCCCATGGACAGCATTTTTGAAAAATAGCCCTGTAATATGGTTAATACTATTATGATCGGTTGAATTCTAATCTGTAACCTTGGTCATACCATCTAGAATAGAAGCTTTGGCACATAAATCCAAGAAACTAGAATAACTGAAAACCCGTTTGGCAAGCCCCAAGTTGGAAAGTAGCAGTGATCTTTGATGGTGCTACAGAAAGACTAGATTTGGAACTGGAAACTGAGATTGGAAAACCAAGTAACCAGGTTCTTAAGTGGGGAACACACTAGCCGAACTGCTAGCTTGCCACCAGAGAAAAAGGACTTGTGCTTCAGAAGCATGTACCAAGAGGAGGAAGACCGTAAGGCACTTAGAGCCTAGGCAAACCAACCCTTCCAGGTTGCTGGCTGGAAGTAAGAGAGGGACCGGTAAGGAATCTGAAAAAGAAAGAAGTTAGAATGTGAGTACCAGGGTTGTTGTGAACCTTGCAAGAGCAAAAGTACATAAGTAAGAACTAATTAGGAAGGTTGTGATTTGAGATACGAATCAGATTATAGCAGTATCCAAAAAGATAGCTTGAGATATGAACCAGGTGGCAGTAGCACAACAGGTACTAGTTAGAAAAAAGTTACCAAACATACAGGTGAGCATATATGTGGGACATGTACCACTCTGTTAGGTTTACTACAAGGACAAATACCCCAATATGGTTTGACTAAAGTCTTAGGGTCATTCACGGCAATTGCTAATCCCGAAAGGGTGTTAGGGTAGAGCAGGTTACAAAAGAGGAAGCCAGAGGGTTTATATGGGTAACCTCCTAGTTGGGTTATAGGTATGGCAACTAGTGTGGAACCTAGGGCAGA